AAAAAAAAAACCTATAAGAATTCAATCACCAATGATGGATGCAATCCTGCCTTGGAGTAAGACAGTTGAATGAATCCCTCAACATTTGATTGAAAATCCTTTAATCATCTTGTATATGTTTCCGATTTACAGTTTGTATGAAACAGGTGCTGCAGGGAGCAATCCACAGGCATGTAGAGAAATCCTGGCAGCAGAATCATGCATGGGTGATCAACAGCAGAAGTGGTCGGCCATGTGTAACTTACCTTAGTCAAAGTGCTATCTTAATCCTGTATCGCTGACAGAGAGATGAGGCCCTGCAGAGAGTGCTAATCTAAAATGTCAATGAGATCAGCTCAGCCGCTTAATCACAATGTCCCTCTGAGCTGATTTGGCACAGGAGAATTCATACAGAGGCGTGCACACACACACACACACATAGACAAACGCACACACACTAACAGTATTTGACACTGACTTAGAGAGGCAGAAGTGCTAATTTGGGGCAGTGTCTCTTATTTGTGTGTGTGTGTGTGTGTGTGTGCACGCGTGTGTGTGTGTAGCTGGGGGCTTTCGAAGGGGTTATTTTAGGAGGGGGAGTGGATGGGTCTCAAGGATCACATTACAGCACTGGGGTGCTGTCTTAAAACAGAAACTGAAACAATGACAGACACACACAAACCAATCTAAATTCACAAGTGTTGATTACTTTTCATTTTTCAAAGTGACGGAGCAGAATCCAGCAGTGGCTGATCCAGATAATTTCATGGTGTTATGGATTGTGTGGGAGGACGGGTTTGTCAGGCAGTGAGTTATCTGTCTCCCTCTCATTCTGTCTGCTGCTACACGATGCAGACTTGCAGCAACAACAATCGATGTATAATACGATCACTTTATTTGGAGCACACTCAATAAACATGGATCATGGCTTGAATATTTCCATTCTGAGGATGTAGAGTACTGATGTTGATTAAATAGCAGTGCCGTTTATTGATTTCCCTAACTCTCTGAGGGTCAATCCAAGGCTCCCATCATGTGATCTTTTTAAAGATAACTAACTGTTTACTGAGTGTTCTCCACAATACAGACTTACAGCACAACAAGCATTTTTAAACATGATCTTCTGTTTAAAATTTGGGTATAAAATATTTTGGGGCACGCTCAATAAAGCACACGTCATATTTAGATCATGGCTAAGATATGTGCAGCCTGAGAATGCTGGCTGTTTGTATGCAGGCCTGTGTTCAGATCTTCCATAATGTTATTTCAAATATTTTATTTTTCTAAAAAGAATCTATTTCAAGAGTCTGATGCTGCAGTTTTACAGCTATATGCACAATAATGTCTTGACTTAAATACATTCCTTGAGAATAAATCATTAAGCTTAACCTATTCCAAACCAGAGGTTCCTCACATTTCTGGCTCTTGAATTTAAAAAAAAGCTACATCTACTCTCAGATTTGAGCAGTTGAACGAAATAGTTGTAGGAGCTGCATTTCATTTGATTCACATTATTCATTATTGTTCTTGTGCATGAGCCCTCCTCCCTCCTCAGGTGGGGAGGGGGGGGTTGCTTATCTATAAATCTGACGAGCATGACGCGTGAAGGGGACGCCCGGTCACAGCAGATACTGTCATTGACATCAGCCTCATCCTCAGTCGCAGTGTCGGCCTCAATCTCAATAGCAGATGAATGGACTTTAGACTTCTGCATTTTATTTTCCAATTATGACAATCTTGCAATAAATAACAAAAAGTGGACCTGACAACATGTGGAGTCATTTTCACACAAAACAGTTGATGTCATATGAATAGTATGCAGAAAAAAATGCCTGCATTATATCCCCTCTTTGAACGACCACATGGCTGCACACCACACATCAAAGCCTGGAACACACAGGCTAAGAGCTTCAAGGAGGACAGCCTGGGACAGAAATCCACTTTAGTCCCGTAGTGGAGACAAAGCAGGATTTACTTGATCCCAGTGGTTACATATGGTCTGCAGACTTAGCCGTGTTGCTCTTTGGAGCGAGATGCAGTTTGTGCAGTTATGGAGCAGGAGTGTGTGTATGTGTCCCTCTGTGTCGGCGTTCTGACCAGAGGTCAGAGCTTAGTGTTGATGCTGAGGGGCCTGGCTGGAAACACGGCTGTCTAAGGAGATCGTGTCCACAGTGGTGGGCTGCTGCTCTGTATAAACCTCTGATAGAATAGTGCACAGCGTTTGTGACGTATTCTCTTGCTGAACTGTTTCATGTGAAAAGTTTTTGGAAGTATGAAGAAAGAATTACTGATATTTTGTGATAAAACATCTTCATCGAGACCCCTTACATTGACCCATTAGAGGGTGTCGAGTCCGAGGCTGCTGAATATGACAAAATCAATCGTGTTAACTCAAAAATGTTTGTTTAACACAACTATTTTAAGACCTGTTGATTAAGATCAGCGAATCAGTAACACCAGCACATATTGCTCTGAATAAAATCTCAGAGCAAATCCAGCAGTTATAGCATATCATCATGATCATCAGATTATTCAATCCAGTTACATTGATAATATTCATGACTAACTTGGTTTGCATTTAATTTGAAACAGAGAAGCTCTGACTTTGCCCCAAAATGGAGCAGTACTTCATTCTGAGTGAATTTGACTATGTCTGTTCGATCATGCTTTTTCTGCAGGGAACAGATAATTGCAAATGAATACTGCAATAAATTGTTCATTTTGAATACACTGACAACCCCTTCCTTGCTTTATGGTCTTTATTGTATTCATATTTCTTTCACCACATATACAGTTTGACACAGTAAGTTTTGTGACATCATCAGACAGTGATCCAAGATAACAGGGTCTTTTAATCATAGAAGCAGAATCAATATTTGACAAAGTGATTCTACTTCTATTTTTCTGATACTGAAACACGACAGAGGAGAGATGCCATATGTAAAAAAAACATTTCAAATTCCTTTGGAGTCAAAGGAATCAAACACCTCACTCCAAAGATCCTGAAACATACATTTGAATGGGACCTGTAGGAGGTGCTATAGATATATAGTCAGGGGGCCAAAATGTGTGGATGAATGACACAAGAGTTTTGATCGTGGCTCCGAAGCGTTCACAGTTTAACCCTCTCTGATATGGGGGCCATTTTGGCTCTTGAGGCTAGGGCACAGTTTCCAGTTGAGGAGTAAGTCAACCAAAGCCCTGAGAGAAAAAGCTCTTACCTGTTCCTTCAAAGCCAAACCTGAGTTAGCCCGTCTCTAACTCTGCTACAGCCCTGAGATTTGGCCTGTGCATCAGGCCATGTATCACATATGAAGGGGAATCTGTGTTTCATCTGGTGTGTGTGTGTGTGTGTGTGTGTGCATGCTGCTATTAATTACTGACCTCACTGCTTACAGTTTTCCTAGCTGGCGTCTGTGGAGCCCTACATTGTTCACTATTAAATACATAAGAAATAATCATAACATAAATAAGCTCTTGAAAAACTGCAATATGCAAGGGATGTCATGTCTTCCCTAAGTTTTTCGCTGTTGCTCTGCAGTTTCTTGAATTTGAGCCTAAGGCCCTTTGGTGCTTGTTGGTCATGTGCTGCCATCCCAATATTCCCTGACCCTTTTGCGGGTGATGGGGCCAGCTCACCCCACAGAGCAGGGGACTTGCCAGCCTTGACACTGGTTGTGCATGCCAAGTTCAGGAATCGGACGAATTGGGTGAGGACACCTAGTGCTTTGACTCGCTTAACAGAGTTCAAATGAGATCAAATCTGACCTGTCAAGTCACAAAGAACCTCCTGCTGGGATGAACAGGTGATCCTGTATTTGGGAGTAGACTTCTACCTCTGCCACCACTATATTCCACTCAAACTGTATGACCATCCCAATCCATAGGGCACTGCATGTGGACTATGATGCTAGGTGCATATAAACTAGCGTGTAGCTCAGGAAATGGCTCTATTGAATGAGACCTCTCATCACGGCACTTAAGTACTCGGTTCGATCCAGGTGCTTTGGGATAAATCCCCCCTGATGATTGTGCTAAATGACAGAATTTGATGGTAGAGCTTGTAGCAGAAGAGACAGTGGGATTGGCTGAAATGTACAAGATCAGCAAAAACTGCTTTTTTAGGAAAAGTGACATGAAATAAGATTTCATTTAGAAAAGGCATTTTCAGACAAGTATTGATAATTGCATAAAAAATATACTCAATTCACTTATTATGTAAATGTTGGTGGTAATAACATTTGATTACTTATGAGTTAAATTTTACCAATTTCATAAGTTATTTCATAATTTGTTTGCCAAGTATATTTAAAAAATCTGAATAACATATCATTCATAATGTCTTACCTATTTAATATTAAACACTGTAGGGCTCGTCTTTCTGGATCACATTTTTTAATATAAAATACACCATGAGTTTAAAACTATCAGGTCTTTTGAAGTGAAATGAATGTGAAGATTAAGATAAGAATAAGATATGAAGGCACTCCTAGGCACAGGCCCTGGATCAGTTTTGCTATTCAAAATAGAGCAAACATTAGGCAGAGCTGATCTCAGACCTGCCACTAGGGGGCAGCTTAAGTCTTTTCTTCTTTCTCTTGTATCATGGTAAGTAATCTTAAAAGTCAGTCTGGTGAAATCACTGGTGATGTCACATCCCTGATTCTTTCAAAATTGCAAAAACCTGGTGAACAAAAATCAGACCAGAACCTAAAGAGGACCAAAACCAGCTGTAAAACAAGACACACTGGACGTACAGTAACACGGCACCGAGACTAGTGGCACTATGAGATGGTAGAGACGCAAATATTATACATTATATAAAATAAATCAAGATCTTCACCAAATGCATCATCGTTATCAGTGTAATCATCATCCTCCCCTGTCTGTCAGTCCACCGGTCTGAAAAGCGTCCGTCCTCTGATGCCGAATCCGACTTTTTTGGCAGCGGGTGAAGCTTGGGGAAGAGAGGAAGAGGAGGAGGAGGAAGAGGGAGCGGGGGCGGCAGGGGTGGCGAGGGCTGATGTCTGAACAGCAGGCTGGCGTAACAGAAGCTCCTTGAATACGGAGTTCATCTGACGGCTGATCATCTCCTGAGAGAGCAAGAAGAGGGGGGAGAGACATGGTAGATCATGAAAATGTGGCCTCGGTGACACCTCACCACTGCACATGGGAGCTGTCCCATCAAGGTGTGAGCGTCTCAACTGCACAAGATGCTGCATGGACTCTGCGCTCGAAGACGTACATCAGGTGACTGTGGCCAGATTATTATGACATGTTCCTGGAAGATTTAATGCACTGTGACAGGAGGGCCCTGTCACATTTACTGTATAGTACTTGTACATCTTATAGTGACGTTCAGATGTGCTCTCAAATCAGTACATTGATGCACAGGTATTAAATAAACTGTATGATAAAGCAAACATACTGAGCTTATATAAAAAGTGAAAAATTTGAATTAATGAAACGGCACTGCAACACATTTGATAATCACTTCTGGGCCTCTGCTACACCATTTAGTTCATAGAAGTACAATGGTCAAATGTAGCTTCCCTGCTTTTTCAAAGTATGTTGTTATATCACAGTTCCAATTCCATTCTAAATTGACTTATTCAAATTCATATTTTTAGCTGTTGACACCAAAACAAAGCAGGATACAGCTTCAGGAATATCAGCAAAATAAACCATCACAAACTGTTAGCAAAGTTAACATGAGCTTGGCCTTCAGTGCTATTAGATACCAGAGCTAAGCTGTTTACAGAAATGTCCGGAGGATCTCCAGAGTTCAGTGCATGTCTGAAAGCCGCTAGTTAGAGATAGCAGCTATTGGAGCAAGCATTTGAAGAGCCAACTGGTTGGGTGCCTTTAAACGTCATCAACACACCCAATCGTTAGCAGTGAATCCTCCGGAGGATCTCTTGATGTGTTCTCACATCGGCTCATTCGGACATTCTCCGGAATTCTTATGAGGGGGTTGGCCGGAGAAACTCAGGAGAAAGTCCAAAAAGCCTCGCAGTCTGACATTTGAACATGCAGCTTTAGTTTATAATGTTATCTAAACATATCACAGCCTGTTCTAAGATATCCTGAGAGAAGGAAATCTGTCTTGGTTCTCTTCAGATCACTCCATGTTTTAAGGGCCTCGTCTTTTATTCAGTTAAGTTTTCAGAAAATGAAGTAAACCTGAAACACAACCATGATCAAGAAAACATGATCATGAACTTCCACACTGAAAATATCACATAATGTTCTTTAATCTGAGGACTCACAGATGCAATGTGAAGACCAGAAGGTCTGTCATAAATGATTTAATGTGTTGAACTCCTGACCTTGTCAACTGCTGTTCTTTCTGCTTGAACAAACGGGAGTTTGTCTGTGGGTCTGAAGCCCTGTCTCACTGTGTCCAAAGTGTGTCTTCTCTCCTGAGACCTGATAAACAACCAGAGAGAGAAAAAGAGGTGAAACAGACCAAATGGTTTGATATAAGTAAAAGATGGAGCTAGATGTTGATTTCTGCAGAAATCTGATGCAGGCTGTTTCATATTTCCACATATTTTCTTGCCTTGATTTACCATCTTTAAAATATAATTTTTGCCTTTATCAATGGGTCAGAATAAGCATGAAAGGGGGAGAGAGATGAGAAATAGGGAAAGACTGGCACCGAGGGGCTGCAGCCTGGAGTTGAACTCCAATAAATGTACTGTTGATGTCTTCCGAACATCTTTAATTTCTTTATTTTTAATGCATGCCCATCTCTTTGTAAAACACTCAGCTAACATAAGTTATGTGTGGCTAAAACGTTTGCTAAAAAGTTTGGGAATGAGATCATGGTGAGTGACTTAATTTCAGAAGGAAAATAAATGCACCCCAGGCTCAGTTTACTGTAATTATTCACCTGTCACAATCACATGGGCGCTAACACCAAAACTCAATATTGATGCTTGCTGTACAGGTATGTTTGTATGAGCTTTCATTAGCTGGTGTCTAGTGTGTGCGATTTGCAGGAACAAAGAGAAAGTTTTGGCCACTTGGGGGCAATGAAAACAAGCTTTGACAGTGACATAGTATCACCTTATAAAGGCAAATGATACAGTATGATGAACAGTGTCCTATTCACACATCCAGCAGTTATAGAGCAACAGTCCTGTATTGTCTCCACTTTTAGTTCAGTTTTTGGTCTCCACCAACCTCTGAAGGAAATATCTGTCCATTTAGCTGATCCAGTATGTCCAGTCTAAGGGTTGTGCCGTTTTTTTGGAAAGGTTGTGAGAGTAGTGAGAGTGATTGTAGCAGCTTTTGTTCATAGTATTTGCATATGTAACACTACACATGCATTGTGAATGAGGTGCAGATCAGTCTTACACTGGCAGGTGTCGGTTGGCGGGAGAGGTTGGAGGCTTTCGACTGGGACTCCCCTCGCTCCCTCTCTGTCTTCCAGGTAACGAAGCACTGTCGCTGTTCACCCGCATCCTGCCAGAACACACACACACAAAACCATGTAGGTTTGTGTTGTGTGCATTCATGTGTGTTTCTGTACGTTTAGCTGTGTGCAATGATGCAGAGGTGCATGTTTCTGTCTGAATGTGTGTATTCCACTGTCTGCATCTATTGCCCACACGTGTTTGTTGAAATGAACACATTCATGTATCGCAGTGTGCATACCGAGTAGTGTTCTCCGTCTGTGGATCTTCTACTGTCAGGTTTCCAGTGCTGCCTCCTCCTCCTCCTTCTTCTCTTTTCCCGCGCTCGGACCTGAGGGAGAAGAGAGAAACATGCTGAGCTTCATTTAAGAAAGTGCAACCAGTACAAGTTTGAATATGGGATGAGATGATTTGTAATAAACAAAATGAGGCAGAAATATAAAGTGGGTGGACAAGTTCATTACAATACAACACAGCAGGTCTACAAAAATACAACCTCTGTAGCTGTGTTTTATAGTAAGTTACTATTTAAAAAGACTTTATAATTTATAAGACACTCTTTTGTCCATCTCCTTTTTATATAGTGTGTACTTTATCTACCATTAAATACTTTGGCTTGAAGGCTAGATGTGCAATTTAAACTACAACTACAAACATATAAAAATAATACAATGTTGATTCTTTAAATAATGAGTTACATGTCATTGATTCCGCCCATGGAACTTTTTAAATGGAATTTGATTTGCACCCGAAGGCACTCAACCAGTTTGCTTTTCTAGTGCTAGCTCCTATAGCTGCTATTTCTAACTGGGTGAGTTCCCTGACATACTGGCAAATGTTTTATGTTGGGGCGGGAGTGATAATGGAATGAATGATAGTTACAGCTTATTTCTAACATTTCAGGAAATTAGATTTGAGGTAAATCTGAAGTTTGACATTTGTGTCAATGCACTCTACTTTCTTTCTGAGAGATAGATAAGAAGATTGATGTCACTCACACACATGCAGGCTCAAGATGAAGCACTGCAGCAAGCAGTGGGATTAGTCTATTTTAGCTTAGCATTAAAAACTAAGGGGAAACAAAGGTCAGAAGGTAAAACAAATCTCAATAATTAAAACATGGTGACATGCTTATCACTGGGACATGACCACATCACTCCTGTGCTTGCCTCCTAATGGCTCCCTGTTCAATTTCATACAGATTTCTATTGCTCACTTTTAAGTCCTTAACTGTTGTGGTAAGTGCTCTCTTGACAGCAGAGAGCCACGAGTGGAGCTCTATGGTGACCCCCAGGTCTCACCTTCAGACCCCCACAATATGCAAGATTTACTCCCCATTGAATTTGGACAGACTAATTCTAAAAGTCTATGTATTTCATTGTTATGTTTATTGTTGTTCTCATTGTGTCTTCCTTGTAAAGTACGCATTATTAGACTTAAAAACAAGTAATTGTAAAATGAATCCTCAGTGATACAGGAAGCCAGAGTAAATATGCTCAAACTGGAGTAATGTGATCTCTTTTCCCTATTCTCGTTAAAACCCTGGCTGCTGAATTTTAATGTAAGAAACTAGAGCGGATCGATGGATTTTGTTTAAGTAATCCTGATTAAAGTGCAGAACAGTAGTCCAGGCGAGAAAGTATACCTGTCAACTTGTTGGCATCTTTCAGAGTGTGGTAAGGTTTTACTCTTGCAATATTTCTTAAATGATGAAAGTCAATCTTTGTGATAGCGCCAGACTTCCAAGTTTGCTATTAATCTTTTGTCTCTGATCATCAGTACCAACTATAAGAATTTCAGTTTTTTTCCATGCTGAAGCATCCACGCCCCTTATTATCATTTTTTTTATTTAACAAGGATTACAAATCTCTTATTTGGCTGTGGCCAAACAGAAATGACACTTGCCAAAAAGGCAGATCCTGGGTAACCAATGGATGCAATCTGCTACTCAATAAATAGTTGGGAATGTGTTAAACCAGGAAAGAGGGATCATGATCAGTTTAAAAGAGAATAAAGCCATCATGTCTCTGATTGAACCCCGGTACATGCGGACACGTCACTCACCCTTCCAGCATGCTGATGTACTTGTGAGGGATGAGACCCTTGACCCCTCCCACTTCGCCTTTCCACCAATCACTTGAGGCCTTGCTGTGAAGGATGAGAAGGTCTCCCTGCTTGAATGACAGCTCTGCTGGAGATCTCGCCACATAGTCAAACATAGCCACTGCCTCCCACTCTGCACACAAACACACACACACAGACACAAATCCAAATCACAATTGGTTAGTGTTGGGTTTTTGTGAAGTATAGTTAGGGATGCTGTTTCGTGTGTGACTCTGTTATAGGCTACTTTTGGGGACAAGTATGAGACTAAAGACCAGTTAATTGGGGACAAAAGCCAGGTCAGCAATCGGAAAAAAGGATTTTGGGTCAGTGGTTACAAGGAAAGTTTCCCAAAAAATGAAAATACACTTTTGCTCTCCTGCTCAAGCCTAAAAGTCCACCAGAAGTGGCTACGCTACCGACGTAAGAACTTCCAACGCTCCATGAATGCACCTTGTGGGAAGATATCAATGAACATTTAGGCTTAAAACTTGATGTAAATGACCTCGTTTTGAGTCAATTTTAAATGTCGGGGCTTGCGGACACTTGGATGACACCACACGAGCTGTATGGAGGCATGTTATGTTTTTTTCTGTTGTTTTATTATGCCTGAAGAAGGACTTCAATTGTATTGGATTTAGCTGCAACGCTGTTAACACCTGAGACTCCAGGAGTGTTTTTTGGACTCAAACACTTCACCCACCCCTCCATCAGTATAGTGGTGAGTAGATAATGAGTGAATTTTCATTACCTTTAAGGTTAATCTAAGGGTAATGTCCTATAAAGGTCCTCAAATGTGACCCACGACCACATATTTATCTGTGTGGGTGTGTGTTTATGTGTGTGTGTGTGTACTCACCATCCTCACTGGGCAGATGCTCGGCCTCTCCGTCTCCCTCCTCTGTGATTGGTTCACTACAGAAAGGCATAAAAATTAAAGTCGGTGGTCAGGCACACTTCCTCTTCTGGTTGACACACGCCAACTGTCATAACGCAACAGTGTTTCTTCCTAAAGCACAATCCCTTACTTTGCTTCTGCTATTTCACAAAAGACTAAATATCACGTAATACCATGAGATTTCTTAGATGACCCTAACACCTCAGTGTTCTACAGAAAACCAGAGGCCAAATCACAGATAACACTCTGTCAAATGTCTAGTTTATTATAATATGTTCACAAAGACAAAGGACAGTTTCATCGAATCCACCCAAAAGCTGATTTTGGGGTGTTGTGGGGTTTTCATGGACACTGTTGATAATTCTGGAAGCTTGTGTTCAATTAAATGAGCAATCAGCTTAATAGTATTAAGCAGTTATTAAACAAAGGATTGCAAGCTGCACAGAAATGCCTTTGGTCTGACATGAAATTCTGTTTCAAGAGGATAAGCCATAAAATGGGGAAACATACATTAAACCAACTCTACTGTTAAACTCTAACATGATCCACAAATCTCTGGAGCAATGTGAGGCTGTTGCTCAGTCATTCATGAACTACAATTCATCCAAGGACAGAAATGAGTCAGGGCACAGATGGTATTATGTTTAAAAATCTTCTTATCTGTTGATAAAATTAACACAATTATTGTAAACTAGCTAGTTAGCATTATACTGCCATAAATGATTTGGTGCCTGTGCTTGTGCAGCATTCACACAATGTCAACAGAATGGGAAGAATGATTGTTCAGTCCTTACTCCCAGATGGTTAGTCCTTGGTTAGCACTAATGCTAATGTTGTAGTCACACCAGATAAACAGCCTAAATTAGTTTCTTTTCATTGTGTATTTATAACAGTTCATAACTATCTGCAATTGTTAATTCCCCAGTTCTTCTTTTCACGAAATTAAGTCAATATATTGTCACTGGAAGATATTTCCTGCAGTTCCCTGTAATTCTGACTTGGAATTACGAGTCAAAGGATGGCAAAGTAAGTCAGGCTGAGGGGCTGAGGGAGATGGGGCTACATGTCACTCTCTGTGATGTCCAAAGGCCATAAAAAATGGAGAACAGCACAGAATCGCAAGGCAACTCTAATATTTAGAAGTGGAGGCCTTTTCCCCTCCAGAATCCCCTGAGGTGGGCTTTAGTGAGGTGGAGGACCATGATGGTCCCATCCTGTCCTCTCTGTCCTAACAGGTGTGTGTAGGCACTGCAGTAGAGAAAGTGTGTTGTGGGACGTGCCAGAGGTAATGCAATGCCAGTGAAATATGACCGGTTCGTTGATAAACAGCATTTTCTCAGTCTGATAATAATCGATATTACTACTCATCCACAATCTGTTCAGTCAGAGACGTTGGTTTGTATACAAGGAGGGGGTGGTTGGTGACGAAAGCTGCATCCAGATCAATCAATAGAAAATTCCATTACAATAGTCAGGCTCAAACCGGTAGAGGGCAATCACTGCATATTTACCTCGTCAAGTGTTAAATTTAAAACATAACAATGTTTTTTTGCTGTTTCAGGGGTTGAGTGCGCTACCTAACATCATAAATCTACAATACAATGACTGAAAGTCTGAAGAAATCTTAAAGTTTTACATATTTCTTGACGCTTCCTATAATTCTTGAACAATCAATTTATACTTGTCAGATGCATCTTGTCAGTTTCAAAGCTGCTCATTATTTCTTTTTTAATCACAACTCATGTAACATTTTACATCAGTGACCACTCATCTCTCACCAGTACTCCTGCTCCAGAGTCATGTGCTTCTCGTAGACGGGACCCGGCAGCTCCGATTGGCCAGGGAAGATGATGTCATGTTGCATGATCATGGTTTTGACGAGGTCATTAACCTGCGGCTGCCTAGCAACAGCGTCATCAGAATCCATCCCTCTCAGCAGGCTCGGGCCGAAGCAAACGGCCAAGTTGTAGGGCTGCATCATGTTCTCGTCACTGTACTGAGACACACTGGGGAAAACGGGTACATGATTTAATCATTTATTTTTGGTCTGGGTGTAAACCTTCATGACCAGGCATGAGAATGTGGCACATGGTGTTATGTTGTAACTTACTGATTGAGGAAAGCGAAAAGGTAGCGCATCACGATGGGGAGAGGCCGTGGGAAGCTGGAGACAATCGCTTTAATCTGGGCAGCTTTCTCTGCATCGTCCTCAATTTCTGATCATGTTCGAGAGGAGCGAGAAAAAGAGCAAGATGTTGTCATCTTCGAGAAATGATGTGACAAGTACTTCTGAGGTGGGGGATGGGTTGGCTTAGTTTAATTTGTATCTGTACGATGTAAATGTAAATGTGTTTATGAGGAGACTTGAAGAAAGAAAGAGATATAACAGAGTAAACAAGACAGTGAGATGCACATGGGAAGAGAGTAAGAGTTGCAGCACCTTGCATCAACAGCACATGCAGCCTGTTTGGAGATTCATAAACAATCTTTCCTACGTGTAGGAGCTCAAACCTCTGTCGCTGCACATCCCTCCATTAAAATTTACACATATGCAAATGAATTTACCCACAATCTACTGTACACAAGGGCGAGAGTGAGCTAATCCGAGATAAGCACCTAGAAGTAAAACAAGTTATGGCTATAAATACACGAGGAACTGAGAGCAGACATGAAAACCCAAGTGAAAGTGATGCATGATGTGAAGACAGAGACACAGATGCAGAAGTAACATAAGGGCGGGTCTTACGGACACACTCCAGCAGCTGAGCGTAGCTGTCGTACGGGAAGAGAGGAGGCTCGAGGCCCCTGAAGTAAAGCTTCAACACACCAGCCACGGAGTCCAGGTCACACTCACTGTCTGACAGAGGATCCTCTCCTACAGGGAGTTCAAACACACGTGTAATGCGTTATTTATAAT